TCTATTGTAATAAAATAGTAAACTAATACAGTTAATGTAAAACTAAATATGCAAAAGAAGTAGAGCTTAAAGTTACCTCCTGCAACGTAATGCATATAGATTATGCATTATAAGTAATTAGCAAAAAGAACTCGGAAAAAATAATTAAAAACTATTGCACTAATGGACGCAGGAAAATGGATATAGTTCATATCTAGAGTCAGTCTACAACATCATTGATAGACTAAGTCAATGGATATATGCCATGTTTAGAATTCATTAGCATGACATGTGATCCCTATGTCATTGACTGATATGACTAAGGTCTATAGGTCCATAACAACATATTATTGATGTGGTGTGCCATGCGCCAAAAATAAGGCTATGACAAACTTTATTCCACCATGCTTGAAGAGCCTTAGCCATCCCAGTGTGTGTTAAGCTTTTAACGCATAGCTAGGAGTAGTTATACACTTCCGTTGCAGTTGTTTGCCGAACCAAAGAGGCTGCAAACCTTAGGGTGTTTACGAATATGTTGCGGGCACTTGTAGAGAAGATCTTTTGCCCCGGAGAGCCTACCCTCAAAAAATGATTCAAATCCGTGGTGGTATGCTGGGATAGATGGATGTCCCTTACTAATGGCCTGCAGAAACTCCATTGCATCCTCTACTGTCCCTAGCTTGGAAATATAATTATAAAAAGGTTCTACAAAAGGTGGAAAATTGATATTCTTCATTCCACAAAGTAGATCCAGTGCTTCTTCAAGTTTCATTTCCCCCATCAACATTTGAATCAGATTCTTATATGTTGCTTGCCATGGTAGGGCGTGAGTCTTAGCCACCATCTCTTTTAGCAATTCATAATTTCATATGCTCCTAATTTTCCCTGATTGAGAAAACCGTTTATTAATACATCCAACAGATCACCATCAGCATCAACATTTTTCTTCACTGTCTTAGCAAGACAAAGCAATGCTTCGTCTACTGCATTAGCTTCACAGTGGCCTTTGATCAAAAAGAGTTCAAGTCTTGATATCATGATTGCAATCCGAGTCCTACCATTGTATCTATTACCTCAGAGGCTTCCTCCATTGTTCCTGCTCTACAAAATCCATGAATCAATTGGTTAGTAATAATTTTAAATAAATGAATAAAATAACTAAGTACGTAAATCATATTAAAAAACAAAGGGAGAAAAGTCTCCACTTTTCAATAGTTGTAGACGCATCTTAGACAAACATCATAAGGCTTAACATTAGAAACAGTAGCAAACTGTTACAAGGATAAGTCAAGGGAATAGGAATCAGTTTGCCTCAAGCAATGAGTGTCTTCTTTTAAAGACTTCTTCTCCTGTTCCTCCTTCTTCGCCTCTGCTCATCCTTCATCTTCTTCGCTTCTGTTTTCTTTGCCTTCGTATCAGAGGCCTCAGCCTTTGCCTTCGAATCAGGGGCCTCAGCCTTTGCCTTCGTATCAGGGGCCTCAGCCTTTGCCTTCGTATCAGGGGCCTCAGCCTTTGCCTTCGTATCAGGGGCCTCAGCCTTTGCCTTCGTATCAGGGGCCTCGGCCTTTGCCTTCGTATCAGGGGCCTCAGCCTTCGTATCAGGGGCCTCAGCCTTTGCCTTCGTATCAGGGGCCTCAGCCTTTGCCTTCGTATCAGGGGCCTTTGACTTTGTACAAGGGGCCTCGTCCAACCTGTTTGTGTCAAGAGAAAAAGAAAATTAAGTTAAAATTTATCCTTATGGTCATAAATCATTTAAAAAAAATGTAAGAGATCAGCATGACAAACCATGGACAGAATTCTTCGAAAAAAACTTTTAGGAAACCCCTATAAGAAAATCACAACGATAATTATGATGAATAAATAAATAAATAAGTAAATAAATAAATAAATAAATAAATAAATAAATAAATAAATAAATAAATAAATAAATAAATAAATAAATAAATAAATAAATAAATAAATAAATAAATAAATAAATAAATAAATAAATAAATAAATAAATAAATAAATAAATAAATAAATAAATAAATGAATAAATAAATAAATAAATAAATAAATAAATAACTTAGAAGAGAGAGTGAATCATTTACCCAAATTGAAATTTATTGAGAGAGTTAAAACCACGTACTGCTGGGGTAAATAAATCAATGTTTTTTGAAACGTAATCATGCACCCAATGGCTATTGCTCACAGTATTGGTGTCTCTTTCATCTACCTTGTCCGGGTATAAATGTTCTTGAGCATTTCGGTAAAAATGAAGTGGAGATAACAGTCGTCTGTTCATCTTTTTTAATACATCACGCACCATAAGAGTCTTCTCATTCGGATCACTGGGAAGTGTAATATTATGCAAAAGCAAATTCACCAAAATTTTATCGTTTTTTATCATCTCAGTCCAGTTTTGGGGAAATGCTGTGTTCATGATCCATGCCTCCTTCTGAAAAATGTGCATGTTGCAGTACAGTATGCGGTGAAGGGCAATCAAAAATTGGATGCGCACATTCTTTGGCCAAAAGATTGGGGGCCTAAGAACCCACAATGCTCCTTTATCTCCTGGTTTACTTGGGAAAAAAGACAAATCAAGAAAATATTATACAAATCATGATAATATAACAGAAGTCATTAAAGAGATAAGTGAGAGAAGTGATTTTGGTTATAAATACTGATTACAATAAAGACAAACCGGGACACATTTTAAAAAAACTAATGGCTTATGAAACTTGAAACTTGTGGAATAACAGTGGAGAAGAATGTCTAGGGAAATGTCCGAGAACATTAGTATTCCAGCTCTCATCATTTAGATCATTTGGAAAGTGAGAAATGAGGCTAAGTTCAAAAAAGGCAAAATTGATAAAACTCAAGTCATTCAACAAGTTGGGGTCTAATTCAATAATAACCAAAGAATGAACACAAATGAGAACAGCAATTCCAAGGAAAACGCAATGTAGGGTTACTAATTGATAAACATATGGTCCAATTCAACCAAAGCAATTTAACATGTACAATTAGGAAAATCAAGCTCAAACTAGGTAGTTTCTAAGTTCAAACAATGAGTAAAAGAATTAAAAAACAGAGGTATGCAAACTTACTAATCATCGCATGGTAAGAAAGATGAGAGTATGTTGACGCAAAACATGTCCACCTCTACCACTGGTTCTGCCTTGATAATTGTCTTTGTCTTCTCCGCCTGTCTCCTACTTGGGTACTGATAGAACCTTTTAACCAGATATAGCATATCTTTTAAATCAGAACTTGGTAAGCGCTCATCTAGAGCCCTCATATTGTAGAGAAACCCTCTTGAATTGCGTATTACAGCCCCTGTAATGAGTGACCCGTGACAAGAACCGTTCTGGTGCAACCGGTAGAGGGTTCTAAATAAGGAATCAAAAATGGTAATAAAATCGGCACGTATGTACCCCCACCAGGTACATTGTTTGCTCTTCTCCCAAATATTATATTTTTCTATTAACCACTCTTCTATTTCCGAATCAAAATTCTCTATTAATACCAACTTATCGCACATGTGAATTTGGATCTTTGTTCCTAAACATCCATTAATTTCACTAAAATTACGTTGGTATTCTATCCATTCTTTTGCTGAATCCCTATCTTGGAATTCCAGAGCAGAAAATTTTTGGTTCCAAAGGCATACTTCCCACCTTCCTGTCCCACTATTATCCTCATTTTTTTCTTCTTAAGTGTAGCAACAGGTGCACCCTCTGGTGGGAAGTATGCCTTTGGAACCAAAAATTTTCTGCTCTGGAATTCCAAGATAGGGATTCAGCAAAAGAATGGATAGAATACCAACGTAATTTTAGTGAAATTAATGGATGTTTAGGAACAAAGATCCAAATTCACATGTGCGATAAGTTGGTATTAATAGAGAATTTTGATTCGGAAATAGAAGAGTGGTTAATAGAAAAATATAATATTTGGGAGAAGAGCAAACAATGTACCTGGTGGGGGTACATACGTGCCGATTTTATTACCATTTTTGATTCCTTATTTAGAACCCTCTACCGGTTGCACCAGAACGGTTCTTGTCACGGGTCACTCATTACAGGGGCTGTAATACGCAATTCAAGAGGGTTTCTCTACAATATGAGGGCTCTAGATGAGCGCTTACCAAGTTCTGATTTAAAAGATATGCTATATCTGGTTAAAAGGTTCTATCAGTACCCAAGTAGGAGACAGGCGGAGAAGACAAAGACAATTATCAAGGCAGAACCAGTGGTAGAGGTGGACATGTTTTGCATCAACATACTCTCATCTTTCTTACCATGCGATGATTAGTAAGTTTGCATACCTCTGTTTTTTAATTCTTTTACTCATTGTTTGAACTTAGAAACTACCTAGTTTGAGCTTGATTTTCCTAATTGTACATGTTAAATTGCTTTGGTTGAATTGGACCATATGTTTATCAATTAGTAACCCTACATTGCGTTTTCCTTGGAATTGCTGTTCTCATTTGTGTTCATTCTTTGGTTATTATTGAATTAGACCCCAACTTGTTGAATGACTTCAGTTTTATCAATTTTGCCTTTTTTGAACTTAGCCTCATTTCTCACTTTCCAAATGATCTAAATGATGAGAGCTGGAATACTAATGGTCTGGGACATTTCCCTAGACATTCTTCTCCACTGTTATTCCACAAGTTTCAAGTTTCATAAGCCATTAGTTTTTTTAAAATGTGTCCCGGTTTGTCTTTATTGTAATCAGTATTTATAACCAAAATCACTTCTCTCACTTATCTCTTTAATGACTTCTGTTATATTATATTATCATGATTTGTCTAATATTTTCTTGATTTGTCTTTTTTCCCAAGTAAACCAGGAGATAAAGGAGCATTGTGGGTTCTTAGGCCCCCAATCTTTTGGCCAAAGAATGTGCGCATCCAATTTTTGATTTCCCTTCACCGCATACTGTACTGCAACATGCACATTTTTCAGAAGGAGGCATGGATCATGAACACAGCATTTCCCCAAAACTGAACTGAGATGATAAAAAACGATAAAGTTTTGGTGAATTTGCTTTTGCATAATATTACACTTCCCAGTGATCCGAATGAGAAGACTCTTATGGTGCGTGATGTATTAAAAAAGATGAACAGACGACTGTTATCTCCACTTCATTTTTACCGAAATGCTCAAGAACATTTATACCCGAACAAGGTAGATGAAAGAGACACCAATACTGTGAGCAATAGCCATTGGGTGCATGATTACGTTTCAAAAAACATTGATTTATTTACCCCAGCAGTACGTGGTTTTAACTCTCTCAATAAATTTCAATTTGGGTAAATGATTCACTCTCTCTTCTAAGTTATTTATTTATTTATTTATTCAACATAATTATCGTTGTGATTTTCTTATAGGGGTTTCCTAAAAGTTTTTTTCGAAGAATTCTGTCCATGGTTTGTCATGCTGATCTCTTACATTTTTTTAAATGATTTATGACCATAAGGATAAAGTTTAACTTAATTTTCTTTTTCTCTTGACACAAACAGGTTGGACGAGGCCCCTTGTACAAAGTCAAAGGCCCCTGATACGAAGGCAAAGGCTGAGGCCTCTGATACGAAGGCAAAGGCTGAGGCCCCTGATACGAAGGCAAAGGCTGAGGCCCCTGATACGAAGGCAAAGGCTGAGGCCCCTGATACGAAGGCAAAGGCTGAGGCCCCTGATACGAAGGCAAAGGCTGAGGCCCCTGATTCGAAGGCAAAGGCTGAGGCCTCTGATACGAAGGCAAAGGCTGAGGCCCCTGATACGAAGGCAAAGGCTGAGGCCCCTGATACGAAGGCAAAGGCTGAGGCCCCTGATACGAAGGCAAAGGCTGAGGCCCTTGATTCGAAGGCAAAGGCTGAGGCCTCTGATACGAAGGCAAAGAAAACAGAAGCGAAGAAGATGAAGGATGAGCAGAGGCGAAGAAGGAGGAACAGGAGAAGAAGTCTTTAAAAGAAGACACTCATTGCTTGAGGCAAACTGATTCCTATTCCCTTGACTTATCCTTGTAACAGTTTGCTACTGTTTCTAATGTTAAGCCTTATGATGTTTGTCTAAGATGCGTCTACAACTATTGAAAAGTGGAGACTTTTCTCCCTTTGTTTTTTAATATGATTTACGTACTTAGTTATTTTATTCATTTATTTAAAATTATTACTAACCAATTGATTCATGGATTTTGTAGAGCAGGAACAATGGAGGAAGCCTCTGAGGTAATAGATACAATGGTAGGACTCGGATTGCAATCATGATATCAAGACTTGAACTCTTTTTGATCAAAGGCCACTGTGAAGCTAATGCAGTAGACGAAGCATTGCTTTGTCTTGCTAAGACAGTGAAGAAAAATGTTGATGCTGATGGTGATCTGTTGGATGTATTAATAAACGGTTTTCTCAATCAGGGAAAATTAGGAGCATATGAAATTATGAATTGCTAAAAGAGATGGTGGCTAAGACTCACGCCCTACCATGGCAAGCAACATATAAGAATCTGATTCAAATGTTGATGGGGGAAATGAAACTTGAAGAAGCACTGGATCTACTTTGTGGAATGAAGAATATCAATTTTCCACCTTTTGTAGAACCTTTTTATAATTATATTTCCAAGCTAGGGACAGTAGAGGATGCAATGGAGTTTCTGCAGGCCATTAGTAAGGGACATCCATCTATCCCAGCATACCACCACGGATTTGAATCATTTTTTTAGGGTAGGCTCTCCGGGGCAAAAGATCTTCTCTACAAGTGCCCGCAACATATTCGTAAACACCCTAAGGTTTGCAGCCTCTTTGGTTCGGCAAACAACTGCAACGGAAGTGTATAACTACTCCTAGCTATGCGTTAAAAGCTTAACACACACTGGATGGCTAAGGCTCTTCAAGCATGGTGGAATAAAGTTTGTCATAGCCTTATTTTTGGCGCATGGCACACCACATCAATAATATGTTGTTATGGACCTATAGACCTTAGTCATATCAGTCAATGACATAGGGATCACATGTCATGCTAATGAATTCTAAACATGGCATATATCCATTGACTTAGTCTATCAATGATGTTGTAGACTGACTCTAGATATGAACTATATCCATTTTCCTGCGTCCATTAGTGCAATAGTTTTTAATTATTTTTTCCGAGTTCTTTTTGCTAATTACTTATAATGCATAATCTATATGCATTACGTTGCAGGAGGTAACTTTAAGCTCTACTTCTTTTGCATATTTAGTTTTACATTAACTGTATTAGTTTACTATTTTATTACAATAGAAAGAGAACTAGAGAGATTACACCACTACAGTACTAAAGTACTAAATATCCCTCTCTAGAAATATCTCTGTATTCCAGCATTCCTTACGTTTGTAATTGAGGCTCGATATCTCTTATTCAATAAAATAAATTTCTTCTTTCCTTATTCTTAGTTTGTATACACCATCCACACCCAATCATACCCCATCCGAAAGATAGTGTTGGGCTTTCGGAATCACGCGGAAATAAACATCAACACTATGCGAACTCTGAAAGAAAAATCCTTAAGTGGTCTGATCTACTAGAGCTATCTAAAACTTATACAGCTAAGAAGTGAAAGGAAGATCCAACAACGATACCGGAGACCTCTCAAATCACCTTGAAGCCAGCCAATGGACCCGGGGGAAAACATCAGAGGGGGTGTGGATCCCAAGCGATGGAACAAGGAGATCAAGATCTGGGAAACCTGACCCACATGATCCCGGAGGACGTATGGACAAACCCTCGTGTCCGTGCGTTGTCTAGGACCTTGGAGAGACTGGAAACCGGAGCGAAGCCAGACGAGCTTTAGAATCCACAGGAACAAATCGAACCCCCTTTACACCAATCAGGAAGATGGAGTCATTAGTTTCTTACACAGGGACGAACCAAACCCCCTGTCTATCAAGATTATCAAGATTATAACTAGTTGTCATTTCACTTCACCTTGAACTTTAAAAGCTTTGTGTGTAGTAAGCCCTACCTTACTGATTGAGGACAGCTGCATAGGAGGAGTTTCTCCTCCAACTTCTGTATTTTCTGTTTCAGTACTTGTACCCTGACTTTCTTCCTCATTTCTTCGGAATTTTCCACAAGCAACATCTGGATTTTCTGTTTCATAGCTTATACCCTGAATTTCTTCCTCATCTTTTTCGGAATTTTCCACAGGCAACATCTGGAAATGTTTCAGTTTTAAAAAATGTTCTTTATTCCACTTTTAACCGCATTTAAAGCAAAGACCCATCCTGCTCCTGTCTTGCAACTCACTTTGAGATAGCCTTTGACCCCTTTCCAACTCTTACTTTGTCCCACTACTTCCTCTGTTTTATTGGTAGCTACTGTTTTGTCTGTGCCTTGAGCATTGCCCAAATTAGCCCTCAACTTACTACCATTTATCCAATGTGCTGCTTCTGTCAGTACATTCGTTTATCCTTCTAACCTCTCTTATCCTCCTCTTTATTTCTCCCATCCTTCCCGGCTAGGTTCTTCTTCTCAAGTAATAAAGGTTTGTCCATCAATTCTACTAAGTTACTGGAATGATACAACTTCAATTCAGCACGAACTTCCTATTTCAGCCCATTTAGGAAAAATGCCATGTCTTTGTCAACATGCCTTAAAGGGGCTACCACCAGTTCAAACGTCTCTCTATATTCCATCACTGTACCCGTTTGTGTCACACTCAAAATTGGCCCAAAAGGGTTTTGGACCAAGTCAGGCTGAAACCTCCTAATCTAAACGGCCTTGAATGATTCCCAGTTTCTATCATCCAATTGTTGCTCCCACCATTGGAACCAATTAAGAGGCTTATCCTCCATTGCAATTACAATCATCTCCGCCTCCTCCTCAACAACCTGATTGAGCTTGAACCTCGTCATCTTCGTAATCCAAATGTAAGCCTCATCTCTCCATTGAACAAAGGTAGATCAACCTTTCGACCAGTTCTCGCATATCCTCTATTCATCGCCTGCTAATGCAAATAGGAAGGCCATGACCAGATAACAAAATACGCCCCCAGGGGTGAGGAAGGCGGTTTTCTGAGCGTCATCTTCGTGCATCAAGATACAACGGTATCCTCCGAATGCATCGAGAAAAGACATCAACTCGCAGCCGATCGTTTCGTCTACGAGCTGATAAATGTTAGGCAAGGGGAGCGGGTCCATGGGAAACACCTTGTTCAAATCGGTATAATCCACGCACATTCTGAATGCGGGGGATTAGGTACTAGAACGGCGTTGGCCACCCACTCTGGATACTTCACCTCCCTGATATGTTTTATGGAGAGGAGAGTACTTACTTCTTTCTTGACGAAGTCCCTTCGATCGACCAAGAGGTACATCTTTTTCTGCGTAACTTGGGAGTAGGAGGGATCAACCGAGAGTCTATGAGTAATCACCTCTCGGTTGATACCAGGCATGTCTTCAGGTCGCAGACGAAGATGATGGCATACGCTCAATGATCTCCATGTGTTGTTTCGCTGATAGTGGCCTCCCAATTTTTAATTGAAGATGTCCAGGAGTATCTCTTGGAATCTCGTCAATTGGCTCAGCCCTCGGCCGATCCTCTTCTTTGTGGGCGTCGGTCCGGATAGTGTCCACCCTAAGTTTCAAGCGAGCCGTCTTCCTTGTGATTTTGAGATAGCAGTTGCGCACTATCCTCTGGATTCCCCGCGTGTACCCAATCCTCTACGTGGTAGGGAATTTAATGCATAGATGTTTCATGGAAATGATAGCCTCCATGTCCCTCCAAGGCTGGTCGTCCCAGCATCAAATTGTGCAATCATTGCCGCATTGCAAATTCACCACCAAAAATTCCATCTTGAGCTTCTGTTTGCACGTCTCGTCCCCAATTTTGACATGGAGCTCGATGGAGCACTCGGCTTCAATGGAGTCCCCTGTGAAATCGGAGAGGGGGGTTCGGGCTGGCTGGTCATAACCCCAATTGAAAAAAAGTAGTGGGATACATAATATTGACAGAGTTACATGTGTCGATGTAGCTGCGGTGAATAATGACGTCATTGATCTCGCATTTGAGCATTTGACGACAAAAGCATCCTTGTGGGACGAAGGGCCTTCAGAGAGGTCCTTGTCGATGACGAAGATGGGGTCGTCCTTCAACTTTTTCCCCACTGGGTGGAGAAAAAGATGTGTGACCTCTCCGATGTATAAGGATTGCGCCTATCGCTTTCGTTGAGTGGCAGAATCTACCCCGTGTTACCGCCAACTATGAAGCAGACGTGATGTCGATTGTAGGAGACTTGGAGCTGGTCCTCGTCGTCCTCTCTAAGCCCGTCAATCTCCTTCTTCTTGTTAGAAGAGGGGCCTTCGGTTATATTAGGGTTCGTCTAAGTGCGTGACTTGGAGTGAGGATGTTGCACGTATTGAGAGAGGAGACCTCTCTATATGAGCCTTTGAATCTCCTTCTTGAGTGTGATGCAATCGTCGGTGTGGTGGCCTGCGTGCCTATGGAACTTAAAATAAGGCTTGTATGGGAGAAGCGTTAACACCTCCGTGTCAACTCGTTCATCCCTCTTCACCATACCGTTCTGCTCTGCATAGTCTAAGATGTAGCTAACGGAGTGAGTCAAAAGAGGTAGCGAGGGGCATCCATGAGATTCGAAGTCCTCCATCTCTTATCCTTACTCCATTTGTCAATCCGAAGATGAGGGGTCGTCGAGTTCCTTACACCACTCTTAGTGGGCGCGCCGCCCGCTTCCTTTGGTTTGATAGGCGCCGTCAGTCGGTCGCCCTCTTCCTTTAACTTCTTGTTGCGATGAACCTCAACCTGGGCATACATTTCAGCTCGTTGGAGGGCCATCAAATAACTCCTCGAAGGATCAATGATCTACGGAATAACTGCTATTCTGAAGGACTTCTTAAAATACCGACATCTTGGTTGCGTCGTCGGCGCCCGACATGTTTAAAGTTAGGGCTGGCATTTTTTAACCGAAAACAAAAACCGGCGCTTTAAAAACCGAACCGGAAAATTTGGGACCCGAAAGTCGGTAACGAAGCTCAAATTGGTTTAATAACGGTTTATGAAATGATAATGGTCAGTTCAAACCGAACTGAACCGACTATAATTAACTAATGATTATTTTTATTATTCCTAGAGTTATTCCTAGAATTATTTTAATATTAGAAAATATCATCCAAAAGATATACTCTTACATTTTTATTAAAATAAAATTTAATGATAATATAATAGTAAAAACAATAATAAAAATAATATAATTGTAACAATGAGAATAATAATGTTAACAATATTTTATAACAGTACTAATCATGATTATAGTATACTAATACTCCTAATAATTAATCATCGATGTTTCATTTAATTATATTGAAGAATAAAATGTAATAATTAGTTTAATAATAGTAATAGTAATCAACCATTAATGTTTATAATATTTTTGGGAAAATCTCCAAATGATAATACTTGTAATAATATTAAAATAATAGTAAAAGTAAAAAAGAAAATAAAAGAAAAAACAATAATAGTAATAAATAACTTTTGTAGCATAATGTAAAATAACAAGTCCAATCACAACCATTATAGCATTCTTGTGTAGTTAGATGATAGTACAATTAACAACTCATCTTTTTCCTAGGAATGACATAATAATTAATTTATTGTGTTCTAAAATTCCCCAATTATAGATATACCTACACTGAAAATTGAAAAAACAAAAGTATGTGAATGATAAATGTATAATAATAAGAATAATAAGGGTTGTAGTTAATGATGTTCTTAAAGTAAGTGATATGTGCAGTTTGAGTTCCCCCATACACAATGAAGTACAATTGATAAGTTGGCAATGGTGTTGGCGTATCAAGCCGAAGGTCCAGTTGTCAATTCCTGCAAGTGACGTTTTTTTAGTTTCTTTTTAAAACAATGCTTCCCTAAAAAGTTCTCACACCGGTGAAGGAGTAGAAGCTCTCTTTGAAATTCATCTATAAAATGAAAATGAATTTGTCTCGACCATTACCATCCCAAGTGCTCACAATTTATGTCCCTTTGTCACAAATAGTGGGCCTAGACAGAAAATGCCTGTGGGCTTGGTGAATAAATTTTGGCCAAATAAATAAGTCAGTCTAAATATTTCGGTTTATCGGTTTTCAATAGAACCGACACAATATTTGGGACCCAATTTAAAAATGGTTCAGTGTAGGTTGTTGGTTTTCAAAAAACCGATATGTCGGTTTGGTTCAAAAATCGGCAAAATCGGTTCGGGAACCGAACCGATGCCAGTTAAAGTCTATGTGTTCTATCTTTCGATGAAATAGCGGAGGGTCTACGTCTTCCCTTGCTTTTTGCATAATAAATGAGAGAAGTGTTTTTTAACCCGACGTCGGCCAGTGAAGTGGGTGAGGAATTGTTGCGCTAAGTCTTTCCATGAGTCAATGCAGCCCTCGGGGAGCTCATTGAATCATTCATATGCCAGTCCTTCCGGGGTGTAAAGGAACCATCGACATAAATACTCGTCCGATGCGCCTACCACCATAAGCTATTTTGATAGCGGCTAACGTGTTACTGGGGGTCCGTCTTCCCCTCATATGGCTTGATGTATTTCCCCCGGTATTTCGTAGGGATGGGAGCAGCGAGGACCCTAGCGGTAAAGGGGATCCTCGCCCTTACTTGAGTTAAGGCTTGGCATTCCCCCTCGTCCACCCTCTTCTGGAGATCCTCGACCTTCCGGAGAAGAAAAGCAACCCGCTATCGTGCCAGAGGCGACCGGTTTCGCCTCTAGCCGCGCTTGTCTCTCCTAGAGGACTTCAATTAGTTTGTTGCGATGGTCCCCGGGAGTCGCCTCCTACTGGTGGACCTCCATTTGTACGACCCTTTCAGACTGCGCTTGGTTGATCTTATGGCGCGCGTCATCATCCGCTAGAGGTTGTTCAAGGGGACTCTTTCCTTTATCCATCTTGTGATGCCTAGCCGATCATGGACCGTCTTCTACTTTTCCCCCGGCCTTTCGAAGGTTGAGGTCTTCTGATTCACTGGATCTTCCTTGGATCTTATGCCAAGGATCTTATGCCAAGCAAGCCTCCTGGGAAGCAGTGGTGACGGCTCGGACGCCCCCGTTGTTTTTGCCATGGGGCAGAATGCCAGAAGGCGTCGGGCCATCCTTGTTTCCCCCCTCTTGGGGGATGAGAATTGTGATAGCCCCGGAATTTTCGGCTAGGTTCGCGAGGACGGCGGCCAACGCCGTTTTTAAATCCGGCGTCAAAGGGGTAATGGGCGACTGTTGATCAACCGGCCTGCTGGTCGAAGGCTCTCCGACATTGGTGGTCGGAGGCCTCTCGGCGTGTTTTTTACGTTGAATACACCTAGTGTTCATCCATTGTCTGATTGAGTGGACCGGTAGCAGGCCTCTTGGATCCTCTAGTGTGGGGCGACTAAAACCGAAAAGAGTGTTCTTTAGAGGAGATCCTAACTTGATATGTTCTGACCTCTTAACGAAAGCACCAAATGATAGTTATTCGTAGGGGTGGGCATATTGGTTTAGTTTAACCGAACCGTACCAAACCGAACTAAACCGAACCGAAACCGAACCATTCATAGTTTGGTTTGAGTTTGGTAGTATTTCTCCCAAACCATATTCAACCGAACCAAACCGAAATCATAAAAACCGAACAAACCGAACTAAAGAATTCAATAGTTTCATAATATATTTTAAAAAAATAAAAAATCCAAACCAAACTAAACCAAAACAAAATACTCCCTCCGTCCCTGAATGTTGTTCCGATTGCGGATTACGAAGGTTGACCGACGATAAAGTTAAATGATCCCTGTGAAAACTCGGATTATTTTTAGTAAATAAAATTTACATATTCAGAAACTACATTAAACCCGCTACAAAGCCTGCACAAAAAAAATCAATTTTCATAAAGTTTTGATACAAAAAGTAAGAGTTTAAGAGTGATTTAAGTTGACTCTCGAAAAGCGAAATGGAAGTAAATTTAGGGACAGAGGGAGTATAAGATTTCTTTCATTGTTTTGGTTGTTTTCAATCTTTTTAGAGTTTTAGTTTCTTTGATTTTAGTGTTAAGGACTAGAGGTTACTACAATACAAATATTCACAATAACTAAAAATAGATGCATAAGATGGATAGAAATTTAGGTGATTTAAATTGAGATTATTTAATTATAATATATGGTTTACTATGTACTTTGATTAATTACTTACAAGCACCAGCTATATTTTTTGTTTGACTATATATTTGATTCATTATCATATGTTGTTGCTTGCAAATTTATTTTTGGTTCAAGATAAAAAAAAATATGGCATCACTGTATGTGTTAATTGGTGCATTTTTTAAATACTATTTTCTCCAAAATAGTCTCAAGTAGTGCAATATTTTATCCTACTTTTGTAGACTTTTGTAAAATCTTTTCTAATTATGTTAGATGTAAATTGGTGCACTATTTGTGTATTAATTCGACTTTCATTTATTTTATTTTGAGTAAGTTTTACTTCAAATCAAATAAAAATGGATTGTAATTTGGTAAACCGAACTCCAAACCGAACCGAACCATACCAAACCGAAACCAAACCGAAATTCATTTGGTTTTAAATTGGTACATTTTCTATCAAACCGAATAAACCGAAACCGAAAAAACCAAACCGAAAACCGATATGCCCAACCCTAGACTTATTTGACCCCGAGTATGTAGAATACCTAGAGAGAAGGCAGAGCTAGCAGTATATTATTATTGAGAGAGTCAGAGTAGCTAGGTGATAATGTTGGTGAGTATATGGGCCGTGGTT